ACAACGAAGTAAACTCTAATTACTTGTAGGAAAATGTTTATATAGAGATTAAAAATAAATTTTCAGTCGTACACAATAGTGCAATGATACTCGCATCATTGTAGAATGAAAGAAAGCTCATGAAAGAAATATTCGAAACATATTAATTACTCATTTATTTTTTACCGACTTCAAAAAAAGGAGGAGGTTCTCAAGTCGACTGTTTTTTTTTTTGCATGTACGTTACGCAATTTGTGAACCAATTTTGATGATTCTTTTTTTGTTGGAAATAGAGTAACTCAGAAGTGGTCCCATTTAAATTTGAAGAAAATATTCCACCTCTAAGAGCGGCTAACTAGGGGATGAATGACTTTTGAGGTCGGTTTTTTTTACCCTGTACTGAGATTATTAAGCATCAATAATCTTGATTTAAAGTTTTAAGATTTTCGCTTATTATTTGATTTTAAATGGACCCTTCGAGATCATGGACGGTGCAACACGTGCAAAACATCTAAGTAAATAAAATATATTTATACGGGTGTTTGTCTGTATGTATGTTGGAGCAACGTGACGTCTTTAATAGGTAACTAGATTGCATATTGAAGGAAATGTTGAGTAGGCATAAGATTTTTCATATTGTAATGGAATTATTATTTTACTTTTATTTGCACCATGTACGAATAAAGACACTATCTAACACAGTTCCAGTTTCACTATACGTCGCTAACCAGTAGGGCTAGCACGATAAAGGCGAGTGTCCACTCTAAGAAAAGTCGCCGGGTCTATGCAAAAATTTGTTTCGTTTCTACACACGAACTGTGTACTGCCTCGGCGCCGGACGAGAAAAAATCTTGTCTACCCTCGACACGACGCGCTCTAACACTATTATATAAGGCAGTGTGAGGTGCATTGTCAGTAAACGAACATTTATGTGCGTGGACGGGTGTTGCTTAGTAGGCAACATATACAACAACATATTTCTTCCCACTGGAAGACTCGTAACCCGACCCTATTTTGCACTACACACGTCTGCCCGAAAGCATTCGTATCGTGTATACTCATTATTTTCTCGTCTGCAACAGACACATGTTTTCGGGGCTAGATCTTGTCGTGTACGAAACCATTCTCATCTTTTCTGTAGCTGACACGTCGAATTTCTTAGCGTGTACGCGCGCCCATAAGGCGCATCTTGCGCGAGAGCGACATAAAGCGCGAGATCTCTATGCGAGAATAGCAGTATCTCGCACTTTATGTCGTTTACGCATTAGTTGCGCCCTATCGTGCTAGCCCTACAAATGTCATTCCAAGTACCTTACTGGTACGAGCAACCTAATATGAGATAGCGACCCAACTAACCGTAACCTACGAACTTCTGAACTACCACTGCAAAAACTGAATACTGCCACATGACTTGAAGATTTTTACTCAAAACACACTAGCATCAGACACTGCCTGCCGTCGCGTTGTTATACTTCACCGTTACGTCTGATTATTCAGAATGAATCCCACATATTACATTATAGAAGAAACGTCATACACAAAAGGAGACTGCAAGATGCAAAATAAGAAGGATTTCAATACTATCCCTTCCTATGTGTTGTCGTAAGAAGAGCTCGAGCAATGTCCATAGTAGTCCCAGCCTACGGAGTCCAGAGCACAACCCAGCCCATGTAGCAGCGGTGTCAATGTTTTTAAAATCAAATAAGCAACTAGTTGTAAAGCAAGATACGGTGACATGGTTTTTCCCTATATAATATGGATCTAACTATAACCACAATTATAATCCTAAGCCAAAATAAATCTGCCCACATGCCTTTTTATATACACATAATCGCAATCATTCATCTTGTTCCGACCATCCGGATTGATGAAACAAGTTTTGGACTTAATTGTACGGGCTCAACGCTCTTTTAATAATAGTATTACTTTAAAATCGTACGTATTACGCACACATTGACCTCTGAATTTCTAATAGTTTAACACAAGCAAATTTTCATATAATCAAAAACCTGACTGCACAAAAATCTGTAAACAGAAACAAGCGCTCGAATTCTTTTCGGTAGTTTGAAATACACAATGATGTAAAGTATTTTGTTCGATGCATTTAGTAAATAAAACATAACTAACTTACTAAACACAATTTCACTATTGAAAGATACAGTGACCAAAGTTACATTAAAACTTACTTAGGTACATTGGTTGTTATCAAAACGAGTACGGTCCCCGCTAGGTGCCTTAATTGTTGGCCTTATTAGAAAGAGATTTAATATAAGAGAAATTTCATCGTGCACATATTCCTATTCAGGCCCCCCGAAAACGAACGAACGACTCGACTTTTTAAAAATAATATAAATATCGTTTATTCTCACAAAATATATCCTATAACAATCAGGAGATACAGACAAATCTAACAATACCTCGGCTATAATCTGAAGTCATGCAAACACGCATTTTGCTTGCCACAAATGGGAAAAGTAACTTTTATTTTACTACATTTCTCTTTGAAGGATAATAAATCTGAACTAAAAAGTCCCAGACGTCGAACTAATAAAGAGGTAGTCACTGAAAACATTCTCGCAAATCCCAAGCGATGTCGACCCAGTAAAATCAATTTTCGGAGCTTGAAACTCGATTGAAAGGTTTCTTGGGAAGCGATATCACTCTAGTCTTAGGAAATCTTAGATTTGCGATTTTATATAAAAAGGAATGAATTCCCTGGCGTCAATGAAAAAGTGAAACTTCGTATTTTGCTTATTGCTGGCACAGAATATTGTGCTCCCTCAAAACTAGTATGTCGTACATTTTTATAAATTGTGACTGTTCTCTGGGGCACGAAAAGTTAATAAAAATCTGAATATTAGGAAATTATCCGAGGGTTTTTTTCCAATTCTGTGGGGGAGAGAACCACAGTCATTTGTTTGCTCGGCACCGAAACAAGCTAAAACAAATTTCGGTACAACTCGGGTGTTTAACATTCTTCATGGAACCTAATTTTACAACGGATGAATACAAAACAAAATGGCTTTGTTTTTATTTTGCATTTTCAAGTCATCCTTTCCCCACAAATTGCTTAAGTAGATAATGAAGTTTGTGAAGGAATTGAACTGAGGTAATAGACTGTTAGGTATCTGAAGATAAAATTTGGCATAGTATGTGTAATAGACAATGAATATAATGTGTAGTAATGAATAGTATATGTAAGGTGCAGTATGAAGAAATTGTGGCAGATTTTTTGTTTCAGTAATGTTGAATCTTGGTATTCACACTGATAAACAGTCAAACGGTTCAAGAAATAAAAATGGTAACCGCCGCCCATAGTAAATTAGAACACTTTGGAAGTAAATAATGTTTTGTGGTAGTCTATGCTTGTGGCACCCGCGATACAGCGTTTCCCTAGCGCGGGACTATGAGTGTATGCGTTATTATTATTATCAAAAAAACACTATCGTTCGTATAACAAACTATCTACTTAATTCAAAACTTGCGAAGAGTCCCCATAGACTGCAGACTAAACAAACAGCTTATCCTCGGATATCTTTTTCTTTCATATTATTACCGAAAGAGAGATTCTAAAGTCAGCCATTTGTGTTTGTAGTTAGTTGGGACTTTAAACGGAATGAAATATCAAACTTTCCATTAACAGACCGTTGTAACAAATCTTTTGTATCAGTGTAAAGCTGTAATATAATTAAAAGTTTCTTACCAGGAATTTTATTAAATAAATTTAATAAATTATGCCTTCAAACATAATACAAGGGTTTCTTTTGAAAATTGTTCGTTACGAACACCAAAATTTTTTCGGTTTCTCCTTAGCAAGACGATGGTTTTGTTTAATATATATACCATGGCTACAAAGGAAGAAATTAAGAATGGGACGTTTATTTCTATACAACAGATTCTATCCCAGTCACGATTTATTTCCGTCAACCTTTTTTGCTTTTTATTTACTATCAAGTTCGCGGCCGTAATTGTCGCTGTGTGAAATCTCAGTAGTCGACTAAGTGAATATTTCACCGGGCCACGGTATTCGTAAAACTTGCAAGCTAATGGATGCCACTTAGCATTAAGACGAAGTTTGCCGACTTAGCTCTTGGTCAACTTTCGTACTTAACCTTTTTGGGCAAACGTTGAATTATTGCTAGCGGAGAACTCGTTAATCTAAACAGTATAGAACCATTTAAACACAATGGTATTTTTTGTTATGATATCAAGTGACGGGACAGACAAATCGTGCGCCAGATGGTAAGGTACACGCCTGTCCATAACAGTTGCAGTGCCACTCAGAGCTTTAAATAGCAAAGATCTGTGGAGCACGGTCACTGCGCCCGTCACCCTGAGACACAAGTTGACAAGTCTCATGTGCCTAAAATTTCACCAGCACCTTTACCCTTCAGAACCGGAATACTACTGCTTAGCGGCGGAAATAGATAAGGTTACGTAAGGTCAGGGCAGTACTTCCCTGAACGAACTCTTTCACAGGGAGCCCTACTGCTACTATGTGGTACGTATAGTGTTGGTTAGAACTATATATAATTACACATTAGTAGCACTAGAGCTCCTTGTGAAAAACTTCACCCAGGGAAGTACTGCTTACCTTACCTATTACTGCCACCAAGTTGTAATGTGAGCATTACTGCGTTCCAGTTTTGAAGGGTAAGTAAGAGTGCTGGTGAAATTACAAACACATGGGATTTTTAAACTTTAGTCTCAGAGTTATAGGCGTAATAGTAATACCTCAGATCTTTCATTACAATTTAAAGCTCTGAGTGGTACTACAACTGCTATGGACAGGCGCAACTTGTTCATTACGTCCGTGGTATCATAAATAAAAAAATATTTCGGATGTTGACTTGTACCTACTACATTATCTTCTAGCTGTATTTGTCTGACACTAATAATCACGAGATGAGAAAATACTTGTCGGTTTTATTATATAGGTACTTGTTTCTTTATTGTATTATTTTATCCCTATATTCTTGTTCCATTATATTCTTTCAATATTGAAATATTTTAATTTTTATTTACAGGGTTTGCCGAGGAAGACGAACCCAAGTTAGAAATATTAACGAGGACATCGGTACTGGATGTCGGTGTGAAAAGAGCTCTCTATTGTAAAGCCCAGAGCATGAGCGAGGTAAGTTTTTAGTTGTTAGGAAAGTACTCGAAATCCTCGTACCTAAAAGTAAATTCAACCCGAGGCGTAAGTAACTAGACATGTTTTATACATTATAAGACTTTTGAAAAGGTCAAACTTAACACGTAACATGACTCTACAAATCGCTATCGCTCTGTTTCCATATTACGTTGTCTTAGACTCGGTAACCTCGGCAAAATTTATTAGCAGATGGTAATGATTTTCTTCGAATCGGTTCCATCGCTGAATCATAAATACCTAACGTGACTAAGACAAAAATTGAAGCTTATTTTCAAAGTGAATACACGTTGCTTATTCCAGACTGTGCCAATTGTTTGGGTATCTCCTAAGGAAGAGGAAGTGCAAGCAAAACGAAATGGACTAGACAATTCAAGGGTATATACTGAACTGAAGATGTTGCCGAATAACAGCAGAATTCTTGTTCTCTATTTCTTCCCACCTACGTATGAGGACAGTGGCTTATGGACTTGTAAGGCAGGAGATCTCAATCAAAGCCTAGAAATTGTGGTTGGACGTAAGTATGCATTTGCATTCGCATCCAAAACAACTTTTTTTTAATAATACCAAGTGACGGGACGAACAAGTCGTGCGTCTGATGGTAAGCGACACGCTTATCCATAACAATTGCAGTGCCACTTCTGTCACTGTCACTTTAAATCGCAAAGACCTGAGAGGCACTGCCACTTTGGCCGTCACCCTGAGACATATGTTGAGAAGTCCCATGTGCCATCAATTTCACCAGCGCCCTTACACTGGAACTCAAAACTGGAACACATTAATGCTCACATTATCGCTTGGCTTATCTATATGTATCAAAAAATATATATTATAATAACATGAATAAAATTTGGTATTAACTATTTAGAATTAACTACAAATAACTGTTCTTCGTAAACACTCCTCTCACATATACCCCTAAAAAAAATAGTATTAAGTAGTACTAAGTATTTTAGTGTTCTCAGTAAACACTTCTCTCACACATGCTCCCAACACACTCACATGTAATTCACCAACACTATACTTACCTACAGTCAAAGACAAAATTGTAGGCCAAAATCGAGTCTTTGATGCAGACTATCACGTGAGACGACAACGTTTGAGCGGGAATTGATAAATATCTAGGGAGAAAATTTTCATAACATTAATAATGTTTTTAACAGAAAAATTCAAGTTGGATGTGCCGCAAAGCGATATTAATATTGACGAGAGCAAGACTGCTAAAATAAAATGTGAAGGATACGGTCATCCGGAACCTGTTGTACATTGGTACAAAGACAACGTACCACTCCCAGGTACGTCATACTTACTTTTACTAATGATTAAAGAGAAAAGTGCATCTACCAAAAGATTTTTTTATGATACCATGTGGCGGGACGAACAAGTCGTGCGCCTGGTGGTAAGCGACATGCCTGTCCACAGCAGTTGCTGTGCCACTCGGAGCTTTAAATCGCAGAGATCTGAGGGGCACTGCCACTGCGCCCATCACCCTGAGACATCAGTCGACAAGTCCTATGTGCCTGTAATTTCACCAGCACCCTTATCCTGGAATTCAAAACTGGAATGCATTAATGCTCCCATTACCGCTTGGCTTTCATTGCGATGTTTTTTACCGTTAACCAGAGATTGTTACTAAACACTCATAAATGTAACTTAGAAATTAAAGTACCTAATACCTAGGTCCTAGATCTAGGTAGGTTACAATGAATCGAACCGTCGACCTATCAATTGAGAAGCAGGAAACCCTTTTTCCACTAGGCTACCACCGCTCTTTTAAATATAAATATTAACTTATTCAGACCCCACCTTTTTTGGGTTATATGTTTCTCCCATTCGACAATACTAAAATATTTTTTGAATATCGCTGATCACCATATTAGACCAGTGCGATAGGATGCACGGCTGTCATTCCTACATTTATTTTCTTGAACTTAACGAAAATTGTATTCGAATTTTCAGAGGACCCTACAAAGTACGTGTTGAACAAAAGAGGCAATATCACCTTTTCGCTTGAGATCAAGAAGGTAGATTTTCAAGATACCGGCGCGTACATGTGCAAAGTGACACAAAAGGCCCTGTCACATTACACCAACAATACCATTAGGCTGTTTGTACACCGTAAGTTAACCTTTATTGAATAGTATCCTCGACCTTTTGACGTCATTAATTTGGGTACTTATATAACTAGGTTTATTTTATTAGATCAAGTTTTACAATTTTTTCGACTTTATATTCACCTGGCACTATACAACTGACTGAAACTTTTAATTTGCTGAATAATAATAGTCCGATTTTTATATTTGTCCGGGCTTTTTTATTATATATATAAAAGTTATAGAGCTAATAAACTGGTAGCTCTAATATCGCTGTGACAAGTGTTTATTATAACGATTTTTGCCTACTTATCTGCTTAACAATATTTCGTTTACAAATACAGTACACAAATATAAAAAGTCTCTATATATTTCTATAATTTCTTTGTTGTCAAATGTTTTAATTAATATCTACAAATTATTAAAACCACACAATTTACCTGTGACCTAATGAGTGAGTCAGTGAATGAGATCCTTTAACAGAATAATTATTTTATTTTATCAAAAATTACCTAGAAATCCTACTAAAATATATTCAATCGAATATAAGAAAACTGTGTATCTGGGAAATATTTTATACTTATTATTATTCACTAGAGCAATCAGTCTGTCGAAATAATTTTGATTAAAATAAAATGTTTTTTTTAAATAAACTTAGGTATGCGCCATTTCAATTTTCAGATAAACCAATACCTTATGTAGAGGACTCCGAGGCCGCAGCTGATATAAGCACAGGAAATAATCTCGTTAAATACAATGAAGTATACGCTATTATGGAAGAAGAGTAAGAATTGTATAATTTCTCTTAATAATTAATTTCTAGTCCTTTTAAGAGATTTGATAATAAAATTATAGTAATATAGAAATTACATCCGTTCAGAAATTAATTTTTCGGTGGCAATATTCATCAAAATTGGCGCTCAACAAGGGGCAGCACCTGATAACGTTAAGTTAAAAAATCAAGAAAATAATACTTACGTCATCATCATATCACAACTGTCTCCTAGAGGAGATAAACGAATTTCCCTCACTCATTTAAAACACACTTTTTTATGATAAAAAGTGGCACTCAGAGCTTTTGATCGCAAAGATCTGTGTGTCCCTACTGCCACTGCGTCCGTCAACCTGAGACACGTCCGCACATGTCGACACGTCCCATTTGCCTGTAATTACACCAGCACCCCTTACCCTTCAAAATCAGGACGCAGAAATGCCTACATTACCTACTGCTTGGCAGTAGAAATAGGTAAGGGGTAAAATAAAAAGTAACAAATAGGTAGTATTGAGACGCACTCTTTCACAAGGGGCTCCACTGCTACTAAATTTATTGCCGTATATGTTTAACCCTACACAGACTTCTTTAATCTGGCTGCACTTAAAAATAGCAAAAATATTTTCATTTTTGCAGAAAAAATATAACTTGCCGTGTGATCGCCTACCCGTTGCCGACTTTTGAGTGGTACAAAACAAACAAAAAAACGAAATTTGCAGCTCCAATCAAAGATGTGGACAGGGTAAGGCAATTAGTATACAACAAATTTATAACTTATTAAACGTCAATATGGTTTATTCCCAATAGTTCCCAATAGTAGTTCCGTGTACACAATTCCACGTGGAACAATTAAAACTCAAAAGTTCCATATATGGAAGCAGAGGGAATGAATTTAACTCAATATATAGTAGGTACCCAGTCATCTTGTAACTTAAGCTATGAATAATTTATCTGTACATAATATTTATCTGATAATGCAGGCTATGAATCCGCAAAGCCAGTTTTGTTAATACTTCACTTCACTTTTTATTTTTATGGCTCCATCAATATGAGAACTGATGATTTTGCCAATGTATAATGCGGTTATTACATAATTCGCAATCTTCTTTCAAGATGACAGTTCATTTATTTTTAATATGAATAAAAGGAACTTTAGCGGTTTCCAAAAAATAATTCTAAATAAGTTCCTTTTAATAATCCATAATATAAAAATGTAATCTTATGCTACCATGGCTCCAGAGACGAAAAGCCTAAAATTAAAGAAATCAAACTATACAAGATTTTTATTTCTTTTTCAGGTTTTCACAAGCGAAGATCGTCTACGGTCCACCTTATTACTAACCATGCGATCGGACGACGACATTACCGAATATAAATGCATAGTCCACAATCAAAAAGGCACCTTGAGCATTGTATTTGATGTTAACATTGCGGAGAGGCCGCCAGTACCCAGTTCGGTAACGTAACTAAACTTTGTATAATTAAATAATGGCCATCATTATCATTAACTCTAAGGAGGATTTAGGTCACGACTCACGCTTGCCCAATACGTACGTTTTCGATGTCATATCAACCTCGCAAGTTCAGGTTTCATCACACGTAAAAACGTAGGAAAATACTGCCGATATTTTGTTCAATAAGAAGCGGCAGAGCAAACTCAATCATATCATATACATTGTTCTGATCCCTGAGTAACTAAAGCAAACATTGACCCGGCAGGGAATCGAATCCAGGACCCCAGAGATGGCGACATCATGAAAATCGGTGTGAGAGCCACTCGACTGCGGAGGTCGTCAGATTTGTATTCAAAATGTCTTTATTTCATATGTAACCAAATTGTATCTACTTGAAACAGTCGTATTCAGATTGCGCTGGGAAGAATGAGCAAAGAAATTAGGGGTTGCCATTAAGAGAAATAAGAATTTGTTAACATTTATCATTTGAAGTATTTATGCCCGGCAAGTCAACAGACACGAGTCCAGTCAAAGGGTCTACTCTCGATCTCCGCCCGACATACGTCCGAAACAATTACTGCCAAATAAGCAATACTTGACGAAATGAAAAGACGCGTGATGCGAATGAAGCTTCATACTTGACACTTGTCTTTTATTTTTTTTCGAATATTACTTATTTGACAGTTTTATTTAATTGTTTCGGACGGAGAACGGGAGTAGACCCCCAGATCGGAGGAATTATTCTTTGTGTTTAGTATCAATAATAATAATAAACTAGTGGAATACTTTCACAAAAAATATAGTTATATCCATCATGATATTCAATAAATATTTATTTTAATACCAAAAAAAACTGAACGAGCTAAAAAACCAATCCCATGGATTTTCCTCTTTCAAGTAGGTATATATACAATATACAATAAGCTGTGTATATACAATAAGCTGAACACGGTGCTGGCAACACAGCCGTTAAGTTGTAAACTTATTTTCCATGGCCAGCAATAAATGAAAAAAAAAAAGTTGTAAACTTAAGTGTTCCGTATTTTTATTTCTTAATTTAATTGTTTTTATCATGTTATTCTTGTAAAACCTCATTTCATTGCTGAATAATATTATTACAAAATATATTTATACAGTTTTTAAGTGCATACATAGTGATTTGATCAGGTTTAATAAGTAAACAAAGTGACGTTGAAAACCGTCAGGTTAACCGGCCTATTACTTTTCAAAAAGTGTCTTATGTGAAATAATATCCGTGGTTGCAAAGCACATTTATCAATTAAGTTCATTGTTACACAACTGCAACAGTAATTATCGAGATTAAAGGTAATTTGAGCATTTTTCTAGTCACTTTGGAAAGATAGCCGTTACGAATTTTTTTTTTTAATTCTATGCTATTTCGTAATTATTTCCATATTTATTAAGATAAACAGGTAGTTAAACTTATAATATAACTTAAGAGTGGTTATTTTGTCTAATATTTAGTCTTGGTACGGATAAATTGTAAGTAACATAACCTGACTATTTAGTAATCGCTCGATCAGCTGTCTTTCTTGCTAACGTTCTTTTCAAATTGTTTTCATTTTCTTTTTCAAAAGCATAAACAATGTTTACACGCAAAGCCGCTGCGGAACGTCAATTGGAGGATAAACTCCAACACGCTTTATTAGAACTCAAAACAGCAAAAGCACTGAATGAGCAATTGCTAACAGAAAGAAACGGTAGTGAAAAGGAAATATTGGACATTTTAGATAGGAATAGGCAATTAAAAAGTGGCTGAATTGCTTATACAAATTACGGAGGTACAGTACCAAAGAGACCAGCTACAAATAGTGGTAGATGGATTCGACCAAAGCAGCAGCGCATTCGAAGAAGCCCTTGCACGCAATTCTTTCAATGTTTACACGCAATTCATTAAAATTAATAACACAGAAATATGAAACTGCGCAACAGGAGATTAAGGAGCACACACAGGCTATGGATAATTTATTCGATTTATGTAAATATGTATAATAATGAGAGATTTGAGTCTCTAACAAATAATCAAGTTACAATTGCAAAGAAAGAAAACCACAATCCTCCCTGTCTGTGTGTGTCACTGATCCCTCCTTATTGTTGTTGCAGGAATCTTGTTTAGAATATAAAAATACCTCTTTGTCAATAACTAGGTCAAATGAAATTCAAAAAAATATTGTTATGTATATTGTGATGAAATGGGTAAAAATATAGGTTTGCAACTTAACCACCTAGGAATAAAATTAACAAATATTTGCATGCCAGATGCAACATACTGTAAAATATTAGATAATATTTTGTCAACTAAATTTGACAAAGACACTTCATTAATAATTTTAATTGGCAGAAGAGGAAAATGTAACAAAAAAGATTTAGGTAATACAATATTTTTCAAAATTAAATAATTTAATTAATATAAAAGAAATTATTTTGTTAGCTTTTCCCTTCAGCAATAGCCTCACAACAAGTGAAAATAATTTGAGGCATAACTTAAATAGAAAATTACACAGCTTGACATTTCATTATAGTAAATTTCATTTTATGGATACTAATAATTTTATTAGTAAATATTTTTATTTGACTAAAGATAGGTACTTTCTTACTAGTTATTTTAGGAGACAGATAGCAGAGTTGCTATCATATGATATTAATAATTCAGCCAAATCATTGGCTACCAGACCGGCTGCTTCTATTGAGCAGTCCGTTGACATAGGTCAGCTTACTGACAATAATCATTCTGTTGAAAATAATTCAACTTCTAATTATTTAAATTAATTAATAAGACAACAGAGAGATACTCTTGCAACACAATGACAGTAAAAAACCAACCTAAAACACACAGAAATAAAATAAATTGTATATTAAACCTGGTGCATCAAAATATTCAAGGCATGAAAGGCAAAGACTTAGAAATATAATTATTTATTAACTGTAATAATATTGATATTCTTTGTATTACTGAACACCACTTTCTATCAAAACTTTAGTTCATGTTTAGCTTCAACAATCACCAGGTGGCTAGTTCGTTCAGCAGAGAAAAAGCTATTCATGGGGGCTCTTTAATTCTTATTAAAAATAATTTAAAATTTAAAGAACGTACAGATATTTTGAGCCTATCTATTGAGATATCCTGCATAGAGCTTGAACGGCTTATTATATTAAGCGCGTACAGACCCCCTCATTCATCTTACGAACTATTTGAAAAAAGATTAGCTGAAGTTTTAGGCAAATTAAATAATCCAAATAAATATATTGCTGTTTGTGGTGACTTCAATGTTAACTTATTAGAAGATTCCAGTGCTAGCAGTAGGCTCATATCATTTTTCCAATGTTATAATCTTGTGAATCTTTTTTTGGTGCCTACTAGACTAACTTCTACTACTTCCACTTGTTTAGACAACATTTATACTAACGCCATACCTAGTAATAAATCTATTATAAATAAATTAACTTCTGATCACTGCGGTCAATTGGCCACTTTTAATATAACTGTTGACAAAATGCCAAAAAAGGATATCATGTGTTCCGATAAATAATGGTCGACTTAAAGCTTATAGAAATAATGTAATGCTTAAACTAACTGAACTTCCGTACGTTAACGATCCCAATAAATTGTATAATTCAGTTTTCAACATAGTCAAAAGTGAACGTGATAACGTTTTTAGGTCCAAAATCATAACTATTAATAATTCATTGAAATTTAGTGATTGGGCGACTGTGGGAATTCACAAAAGTAGACAAAGACTATATGATCTTTACGATGAAAGGACTTATAACACTAGTAACAGTTTTAATGATTTTGTTAGGAAATATTCGAAAATGTTTAAACGTATTTGTGTTGCAGCCAAAGCAATGTTTATAAATAATAAAATAAAAAGCAGCGCGAATGTAGTAAAAACGACTTGGAATATTATAAACAACGAAACTGGAGGCGTCAAACCTCGTAACTTAGATTTTCAACTAAGATTTAATGACAAAATTGTAAACACAGATGCAGAAGTTGCTAAAATATTTGAAAATTTTTTTACTGACATTCCAATTTTGACTACTAGGTCGTTAAATTCATCTCCCACCGCCGCTTCCTTAATCCTTACTAAAAGAAAATAATGCAGTTAGTATCACTAATTTAAGGTTCCGTCATGTATTTCCAAACGAGAATTGTTAAAGCCTTTAAATCTTTAAACATAAAAAATAGTGTTGATCTTGATGGTCTTTCAGTCAGAGTAATTAGTTCTATAGTTGATTGTATTGCGCCTTACTTAGCCTGTCTCTTTAATAAATGTGTTGATGATGGTGTCTTTCCTGACCTCATGAAGGAAAGGTATTCCACCAATTTCAGACCTATATCAATACTACCAACTCTCAGTAAAATATTTGAAAAAAATATTTTAAATCAGATGTGTGCATATTTTTATAGTAATAACTTAATGTCTCCTAAACAATTTGGTTTCACTCGGGGTCGCTCTACAACCGACGCTGGTGTCGAGTTGATTAATCATATATTTGATGCATGAGAAGTCTCACATGATGCTATTGGTGTATTCTGTGACCTTTCAAAAGCTTTTGATTGTGTGCACCATAATACACTGGTCAGGAAACTTCGCCATTATGGTGTGGCGGGACGTGAT